CCCAACAACAGCAGTGCGCACCAGAAAGCCAGGACCTACGCTTGCAGCACCTGAGGATCGGTAGTCCTACAACAAACATTTAAATACATTTCGTATTTGAAATTTTGATCCTTTTTTAGAAACTAAAATATAGAAAATTTCATTTATATTTCAATGAATATCTATTTACATTTTTATGAATTCCTTTCTTTATTTTCATTTTAAATTAAAAAATCGAAAATAAAAAAATGAACAGACATTAATCTGGTACCACAGTGTTAAGACACAACTATATATATATATATATATATATATATATATACAACAAACATTTAAATACATTTCGTATTTGAAATTTTGATCCTTTTTTAGAAACTAAAATATAGAAAATTTCATTTATATTTCAATGAATATGTATTTACATTTTTATGAATTCCTTTCTTGATTATCATGAGTATTCGTTCATAACATTTAACATACTGTTAAATTAAAAAATCGAAAATAAAAAAATGAACAGACATTAATCTGGTGTTAAGACACAAATATATATATATACGAGCAATTTGTTACCATTACCCGTGTACATTTGTCTGCGTTCCGTTTTGAGTTCATACTTTTTTCTTCTCCCCCATTTGTAGCTGGTGGGACGCTTTTTAATTTTTCTCTTCCACTGAGGAAATTTGCAAATAGTGGACAGTGCACGAGTTCGAATATTTTTGATTGATGTGTGCAAACATCATTTCGTAAATTAAAAAAAATCCATAAAAAGCAGAGAAAACACTTTGTAAAAGTCAAAAATGTGTTAAGAATAAAAAATTTTCTCAAATTGAAAAAAATCTAATAAGGACTCAAAATAAATTTTAAAAGCATTCAAAAAACATTTAAAGGAATCGAATAAATTAAAAGGCGACATGGCAGTGGTAAGAGGTTCCATTTTTAAAACTTTAACTATGTGACAAATTAGGTTATAATACTCATGTCATCTATTTTTGTTTCCAAAATGTGGGCGACTGCTATGGCAGCTATGTACCTAATGTATAATTTTTTTTATTTATTTATACATTTTTTAATTAATTTAAATATTTTTTTTATTAAATTTGGCAAAATGTTTTGGTGCCATTGAAACTGAGGATTTAGTTTAACAGAGTGCTGCGCTGCAGACCACAAAATTAATAAGAAAGTTAAAAAAACACTCCCTGAAATTAAGCCGCCAGCACCAAAGATATTATTCACATGAACGGTTTTACCATCAAAACTATCTCTCTCCATATCAACAACAACAATATAACCATCCACAACAACACTACCATCAACACCATCCGCAACAACAACATCAGCAACACCATCCGCACCAGCAATACTATTTCCATCATCAATCTATTCCTATTTACTACCATCCCCAATACCAACAACAACATCATCATCCACAACAAAATCAGCAATCAAACCAATCGCAAATGCATCAGCAACAACAAAACGATATCCCCCAACAACAGCAGTGCGCACCAGAAAGCCAGGACCTACGCTTGCAGCACCAGAGGATCGGTAGTCCTACAACAAACATTTAAATACATTTCGTATTTGAAATTTTGATCCTTTTTTGGAAACTAAAATATAAAAAATTTCATTTATATTTCAATGAATATCTATTTACATTTTTATGAATTCCTTTCTTTATTATCATGAGTATTCGGTCATAACATTTAATATACTGTTAAATTAAAAAATCGAAAATAAAAAAGAACAGACATTAATCTGGTACCACAGTGTTAAGACACAACTATATATATATATATATATATATAATATATCAACAACAATATAACCATCCACAACAATAGCAACATCATCCGCAACAAAAACACCATCCGCGACAGCAATACTATTTCCATCATCAATCTATTTCTATTTACTATCATCCCCAATACCAACAACAACATCATCATCCACAACAAAATCAGCAATCAAACCAATCGCAAATGCATCAGCAACAACAAAACGATATACCCCAACAACAGCAGTGCGCACCAGAAAGCCAGGACCTACGCTTGCAGCACCTGAGGATCGGTAGTCCTACAACAAACATTTAAATACATTTCGTATTTGAAATTTTGATCCTTTTTTAGAAACTAAAATATAGAAAATTTCATTTATATTTCAATGAATATCTATTTACATTTTTATGAATTCCTTTCTTTATTTTCATTTTAAATTAAAAAATCGAAAATAAAAAAATGAACAGACATTAATCTGGTACCACAGTGTTAAGACACAACTATATATATATATATATATACAACAAACATTTAAATACATTTCGTATTTGAAATTTTGATCCTTTTTTAGAAACTAAAATATAGAAAATTTCATTTATATTTCAATGAATATGTATTTACATTTTTATGAATTCCTTTCTTGATTATCATGAGTATTCGTTCATAACATTTAATATACTGTTAAATACGCTTTTTAATTTTTCTCTTCCACTGAGGAAATTTGCAAATAGTGGACAGTGCACGAGTTCGAATATTTTTGATTGATGTGTGCAAACATCATTTCGTAAATTAAAAAAAATCCATAAAAAGCAGAGAAAACACTGTGTAAAAGTCAAAAATGTGCTAAGAATAAAAAATTTTCTCAAATTGAAAAAAATCTAATAAGGACTCAAAATAAATTTTAAAAGCATTCAAAAAACATTTAAAGGAATCGAATAAATTAAAAGGCGACATGGCAGTGGTAAGAGGTTCCATTTTTAAAACTTTAACTATGTGACAAATTAGGTTATAATACTCATGTCATCTATTTTTGTTTCCAAAATGTGGGCGACTGCTATGGCAGCTATGTACCTAATGTATAATTTTTTTTATTTATTTATACATTTTTTAATTAATTTAAATATTTTTTTTATTAAATTTGGCAAAATGTTTTGGTGCCATTGAAACTGAGGATTTAGTTTAACAGAGTGCTGCGCTGCAGACCACAAAATTAATAAGAAAGTTAAAAAAACACTCCCTGAAATTAAGCCGCCAGCACCAAAGATATTATTCACATGAACGGTTTTACCATCAAAACTATCTCTCTCCATATCAACAACAACAATATAACCATCCACAACAACACTACCATCAACACCATCCGCAACAACAACATCAGCAACACCATCCGCACCGGCAATACTATTTCCATCATCAATCTATTCCTATTTACTACCATCCCCAATACCAACAACAACATCATCATCCACAACAAAATCAGCAATCAAACCAATCGCAAATGCATCAGCAACAACAAAACGATATCCCCCAACAACAGCAGTGCGCACCAGAAAGCCAGGACCTACGCTTGCAGCACCAGAGGATCGGTAGTCCTACAACAAACATTTAAATACATTTCGTATTTGAAATTTTGATCCTTTTTTAGAAACTAAAATATAAAAAATTTCATTTATATTTCAATGAATATCTATTTACATTTTTATGAATTCCTTTCTTTATTATCATGAGTATTCGGTCATAACATTTAATATACTGTTAAATTAAAAAATCGAAAATAAAAAAGAACAGACATTAATCTGGTACCACAGTGTTAAGACACAACTATATATATATATATATATATATATATATATCAACAACAATATAACCATCCACAACAATAGCAACATCATCCGCAACAAAAACACCATCCGCGACAGCAATACTATTTCCATCATCAATCTATTTCTATTTACTATCATCCCCAATACCAACAACAACATCATCATCCACAACAAAATCAGCAATCAAACCAATCGCAATGCATCAGCAACAACAAAACGATATCCCCCAACAACAGCAGTGCGCACCAGAAAGCCAGGACCTACGCTTGCAGCACCTGAGGATCGGTAGTCCTACAACAAACATTTAAATACATTTCGTATTTGAAATTTTGATCCTTTTTTAGAAACTAAAATATAGAAAATTTCATTTATATTTCAATGAATATCTATTTACATTTTTATGAATTCCTTTCTTTATTTTCATTTTAAATTAAAAAATCGAAAATAAAAAAATGAACAGACATTAATCTGGTACCACAGTGTTAAGACACAACTATATATATATATATATATATATATATATATACAACAAACATTTAAATACATTTCGTATTTGAAATTTTGATCCTTTTTAGAAACTAAAATATAGAAAATTTCATTTATATTTCAATGAATATGTATTTACATTTTTATGAATTCCTTTCTTGATTATCATGAGTATTCGTTCATAACATTTAATATACTGTTAAATTAAAAAATCGAAAATAAAAAAAATGAACAGACATTAATCTGGTGTTAAGACACAACTATATATATATATATATATATACGAGCAATTTGTTACCATTACCCGTGTACATTTGTCTGCGTTCCGTTTTGAGTTCATACTTTTTTCTTCTCCCCCATTTGTAGCTGGTGGGACGCTTTTTAATTTTTCTCTTCCACTGAGGAAATTTGCAAATAGTGGACAGTGCACGAGTTCGAATATTTTTGATTGATGTGTGCAAACATCATTTCGTAAATTAAAAAAAAAAACATAAAAAGCAGAGAAAACACTTTGTAAAAGTCAAAAATGTGCTAAGAATAAAAAATTTTCTCAAATTGAAAAAAATCTAATAAGGACTCAAAATAAATTTTAAAAGCATTCAAAAAACATTTAAAGGAATCGAATAAATTAAAAGGCGACATGGCAGTGGTAAGAGGTTCCATTTTTAAAACTTTAACTATGTGACAAATTAGGTTATAATACTCATGTCATCTATTTTTGTTTCCAAAATGTGGGCGACTGCTATGGCAGCTATGTACCTAATGTATAATTTTTTTTATTTATTTATACATTTTTTAATTAATTTAAATATTTTTTTTATTAAATTTGGCAAAATGTTTTGGTGCCATTGAAACTGAGGATTTAGTTTAACAGAGTGCTGCGCTGCAGACCACAAAATTAATAAGAAAGTTAAAAAAACACTCCCTGAAATTAAGCCGCCAGCACCAAAGATATTATTCACATGAACGGTTTTACCATCAAAACTATCTCTCTCCATATCAACAACAACAATATAACCATCCACAACAACACTACCATCAACACCATCCGCAACAACAACATCAGCAACACCATCCGCACCGGCAATACTATTTCCATCATCAATCTATTCCTATTTACTATCATCCCCAATACCAACAACAACATCATCATCCACAACAAAATCAGCAATCAAACCAATCGCAAATGCATCAGCAACAACAAAACGATATCCCCCAACAACAGCAGTGCGCACCAGAAAGCCAGGACCTACGCTTGCAGCACCAGAGGATCGGTAGTCCTACAACAAACATTTAAATACATTTCGTATTTGAAATTTTGATCCTTTTTTAGAAACTAAAATATAAAAAATTTCATTTATATTTCAATGAATATCTATTTACATTTTTATGAATTCCTTTCTTTATTATCATGAGTATTCGGTCATAACATTTAATATACTGTTAAATTAAAAAATCGAAAATAAAAAAGAACAGACATTAATCTGGTACCACAGTGTTAAGACACAACTAATATATATATATATATATAAATATATCAACAACAATATAACCATCCACAACAATAGCAACATCATCCGCAACAAAAACACCATCCGCGACAGCAATACTATTTCCATCATCAATCTATTTCTATTTACTATCATCCCCAATACCAACAACAACATCATCATCCACAACAAAATCAGCAATCAAACCAATCGCAAATGCATCAGCAACAACAAAACGATATCCCCCAACAACAGCAGTGCGCACCAGAAAGCCAGGACCTACGCTTGCAGCACCTGAGGATCGGTAGTCCTACAACAAACATTTAAATACATTTCGTATTTGAAATTTTGATCCTTTTTTAGAAACTAAAATATAGAAAATTTCATTTATATTTCAATGAATATCTATTTACATTTTTATGAATTCCTTTCTTTATTTTCATTTTAAATTAAAAAATCGAAAATAAAAAAATGAACAGACATTAATCTGGTACCACAGTGTTAAGACACAACTATATATATATATATATATATATATATATACAACAAACATTTAAATACATTTCGTATTTGAAATTTTGATCCTTTTTTAGAAACTAAAATATAGAAAATTTCATTTATATTTCAATGAATATGTATTTACATTTTTATGAATTCCTTTCTTGATTATCATGAGTATTCGTTCATAACATTTAATATACTGTTAAATTAAAAAATCGAAAATAAAAAAAATGAACAGACATTAATCTGGTGTTAAGACACAACTATATATATATATATATACGAGCAATTTGTTACCATTACCCGTGTACATTTGTCTGCGTTCCGTTTTGAGTTCATACTTTTTTCTTCTCCCCCATTTGTAGCTGGTGGGACGCTTTTTAATTTTTCTCTTCCACTGAGGAAATTTGCAAATAGTGGACAGTGCACGAGTTCGAATATTTTTGATTGATGTGTGCAAACATCATTTCGTAAATTAAAAAAAATCCATAAAAAGCAGAGAAAACACTGTGTAAAAGTCAAAAATGTGCTAAGAATAAAAAATTTTCTCAAATTGAAAAAAATCTAATAAGGACTCAAAATAAATTTTAAAAGCATTCAAAAAACATTTAAAGGAATCGAATAAATTAAAAGGCGACATGGCAGTGGTAAGAGGTTCCATTTTTAAAACTTTAACTATGTGACAAATTAGGTTATAATACTCATGTCATCTATTTTTGTTTCCAAAATGTGGGCGACTGCTATGGCAGCTATGTACCTAATGTATAATTTTTTTTATTTATTTATACATTTTTTAATTAATTAAAATATTTTTTTTATTAAATTTGGCAAAATGTTTTGGTGCCATTGAAACTGAGGATTTAGTTTAACAGAGTGCTGCGCTGCAGACCACAAAATTAATAAGAAAGTTAAAAAAACACTCCCTGAAATTAAGCCGCCAGCACCAAAGATATTATTCACATGAACGGTTTTACCATCAAAACTATCTCTCTCCATATCAACAACAACAATATAACCATCCACAACAACACTACCATCAACACCATCCGCAACAACAACATCAGCAACACCATCCGCACCGGCAATACTATTTCCATCATCAATCTATTCCTATTTACTACCATCCCCAATACCAACAACAACATCATCATCCACAACAAAATCAGCAATCAAACCAATCGCAAATGCATCAGCAACAACAAAACGATATCCCCCAACAACAGCAGTGCGCACCAGAAAGCCAGGACCTACGCTTGCAGCACCAGAGGATCGGTAGTCCTACAACAAACATTTAAATACATTTCGTATTTGAAATTTTGATCCTTTTTTAGAAACTAAAATATAAAAAATTTCATTTATATTTCAATGAATATCTATTTACATTTTTATGAATTCCTTTCTTTATTATCATGAGTATTCGGTCATAACATTTAATATACTGTTAAATTAAAAAATCGAAAATAAAAAAGAACAGTCATTAATCTGGTACCACAGTGTTAAGACACAACTATATATATATATATATATATATAGGAGCTTAGTGGTACGTGCGTGAGTGACTGGCAGATCATCGCCCAGAATTGCCAGAAAATTGCGGTACGAGCACTTTGTTACCATTACCCGTGTACATTTGTCTGCGTTCCGTTCATACTTTTTTCTTCTTCCCCATTTGTAGCTGGTGGGACGCTTTTTAATTTTTCTCTTCCCCTGAGGAAATTTGAAAATAGTGGACAGTGCACGAGTTCGAATATTTTTGATTGATGTGTGCAAACATCATTTCGTAAATTAAAAAATCGATTAAAAGCAGAAAAAAAACACTTTGTAAAAGTCAAAAATGTGCTAAGAATAACAAATTTTCTCAAATTGAAAAAAATCTAATAAGGACTCAAAATAAATTTTAAAAGCATTCAAAAAACATTTAAAGGAATCGAATAAATTAAAAGGCGACATGGCAGTGGTAAGAGGCTCCATTTTTAAAACTTCAACCATGTGACAAATTAGGTTATAATACTCGTGTCATCTATTTTTGTTTCCAAAATGTGGGCGACTGCTATGGCAGCAATGTACCTAATGTATAATTTTTTTTATTTATTTATACATTTTTTAATTAATTTAAATATTGTTTTTTATTAATTTTAGCAAAATGTTTTGGTGCCATTGAAAATGAGGATTTTGTTTAACAGAGTGCTGCGCTGCAGACCACAAAATAAAGTTAAAAAAATCATTCCCTGAAATTAAGCCGCCAGCACCAAAGATATCATTCACGTGAACGTTTTTACCATCAAAACTATCTCTCTCCATATCAACAACAACAATATAACCATCCACAACAACACTACCATCAGCAATAGCAACGCCATCCGCAACAGCAATACTATTTCCATCATCAATCCATTTCTATTTACTATCATCCCCAATACCAACAACAACATCATCATCCACAACAAAATCAGCAATCAAACCAATCGCAAATGCATCAGCAACAACAAAACGATATCCCCCAACAACAGCAGTGCGCACCAGAAAGCCAGGACCTACGCTTGCAGCACCTGAGTATCGGTAGTCCTACAACAAACATTTAAATACATTTCGTATTTGAAATTTTGATCCTTTTTTAGAAACTAAAATATAGAAAATTTTATTTATATTTCAATGAATATCTATTTACATTTTTATTAATTCCTTTCTTTATTATCATGAGTATTCGTTCATAACATTTAATATACAGTTTAATTAAAAAATCGAAAATAAAAAATGAACAGACATTAATCTTGTACCACAGTGTTAAGACACAACTATATATATATATATATATATATAAATATATCAACAACAATATAACCATCCACAACAACACTACCATCAACAATAGCAACATCATCCGCAACAAAAACACCATCCGCGACAGCAATACTATTTCCATCATCAATCCATTTCTATTTACTATCATCCCCAATACCAACAACAACATCATCATCCACAACAAAATCAGCAATCAAACCAATCGCAAATGCATCAGCAACAACAAAACGATATCCCCCAACAACAGCAGTGCGCACCAGAAAGCCAGGACCTACGCTTGCAGCTCCAGAGGATCGGTAGTCCTACAACAAACATTTAAATACATTTCGTGTTTGAAATTTTGATCCGCTTGCAGCACCTGAGGATCGGTAGTCCTACAACAAACATTTAAATACATTTCGTATTTGAAATTTTGATCCTTTTTTAGAAACTAAAATATAGAAAATTTTATTTATATTTCAATGAATATCTATTTACATTTTTATTAATTCCTTTCTTTATTATCATGAGTATTCGTTCATAACATTTAATATACAGTTTAATTAAAAAATCGAAAATAAATAATGAACAGACATTAATCTTGTACCACAGTGTTAAGACACAACTATATATATATATATATATAAATATATCAACAACAATATAACCATCCACAACAACACTACTATCAACAATAGCAACATCATCCGCAACAAAAACACCATCCGCGACAGCAATACTATTTCCATCATCAATCCATTTCTATTTACTATCATCCCCAATACCAACAACAACATCATCATCCACAACAAAATCAGCAATCAAACCAATCGCAAATGCATCAGCAACAACAAAACGATATCCCCCAACAACAGCAGTGCGCACCAGAAAGCCAGGACCTACGCTTGCAGCACCAGAGGATCGGTAGTCCTACAACAAACATTTAAATACATTTCGTATTTGAAAGTTTGATCCTTTTTTAGAAACTAAAATATAAAAAATTTCATTTATATTTCAATGAATATCTATTTACATTTTCATGAATTCCTTTGATTATTATCATGAATATTCGGTCATAACATTTAATATACTGTTAAATTAAAAAATCGAAAATAAAAAAGAACAGACATTAATCTGGTACCACAGTGTTAAGACACAACTATATATATATATATATATATATATATATATATATATAAATATATCAACAACAATATAACCATCCACAACAATAGCAACATAATCCGCAACAAAAACACCATCCGCGACAGCAATACTATTTCCATCATCAATCCATTTCTATTTACTATCATCCCCAATACCAACAACAACATCATCATCCACAACAAAATCAGCAATCAAACCAATCGCAAATGCATCAGCAACAATAAAACGATATCCCCCAACAACAGCAGTGCGCACCAGAAAGCCAGGACCTACGCTTGCAGCACCTGAGGATCGGTAGTCCTACAACAAACATTTAAATACATTTCGTATTTGAAATTTTGATCCTTTTTTAGAAACTAAAATATAGAAAATTTCATTTATATTTCAATGAATATCTATTTACATTTTTATGAATTCCTTTCTTTATTTTCATTTTAAATTAAAAAATCGAAAATAAAAAAATGAACAGACATTAATCTGGTACCACAGTGTTAAGACACAACTATATATACATATATATATATATATACAACAAACATTTAAATACATTTCGTATTTGAAATTTTGATCCTTTTTTAGAAACTAAAATATAGAAAATTTCATTTATATTTCAATGAATATGTATTTACATTTTTATGAATTCCTTTCTTGATTATCATGAGTATTCGTTCATAACATTTAATATACTGTTAAATTAAAAAATCGAAAATAAAAAAATGAACAGACATTAATCTGGTACCACAGTGTTAAGACACAACTATATATACATATATATATATATATATATATATACAACAAACATTTAAATACATTTCGTATTTGAAATTTTGATCCTTTTATAGAAACTAAAATATAGAAAATTTCATTTATATTTCAATGAATATGTATTTACATTTTTATGAATTCCTTTCTTGATTATCATGAGTATTCATTCATAACATTTAACATACTGTTAAATTAAAAAATCGAAAATAAAAAAAATTAACAGGCATTAATCTGGTACCACAGTGTTAAGACACAACTATATATATATATATATATATATATATACGAGCAATTTGTTACCATTACCCGTGTACATTTGTCTGCGTTCCGTTTTGAGTTCATACTTTTTTCTTCTCCCCCATTTGTAGCTGGTGGGACGCTTTTTAATTTTTCTCTTCCACTGAGGAAATTTGCAAATAGTGGACAGTGCACGAGTTCGAATATTTTTGATTGATGTGTGCAAACATCATTTCGTAAATTAAAAAAAAATCCATAAAAAGCAGAGAAAACACTTTGTAAATGTCAAAAATGTGCTAAGAATAAAAAATTTTCTCAAATTGAAAAAAATCTAATAAGGACTCAAAATAAATTTTAAAAGCATTCAAAAAACATTTAAAGGAATCGAATAAATTAAAAGGCGACATGGCAGTGGTAAGAGGTTCCATTTTTAAAACTTTAACTATGTGACAAATTAGGTTATAATACTCATGTCATCTATTTTTGTTTCCAAAATGTGGGCGACTGCTATGGCAGCTATGTACCTAATGTATAATTTTTTTTATTTATTTATACATTTTTTAATTAATTTAAATATTTTTTTTATTAAATTTGGCAAAATGTTTTGGTGCCATTGAAACTGAGGATTTAGTTTAACAGGGGTGCTGCGCTGCAGACCACAAAATTAATAAGAAAGTTAAAAAAAACACTCCCTGAAATTAAGCCGCCAGCACCAAAGATATTATTCACATGAACGGTTTTACCATCAAAACTATCTCTCTCCATATCAACAACAACAATATAACCATCCACAACAACACTACCATCAACACCATCCGCAACAACAACATCAGCAACACCATCCGCACCAGCAATACTATTTCCATCATCAATCTATTCCTATTTACTACCATCCCCAATACCAACAACAACATCATCATCCACAACAAAATCAGCAATCAAACCAATCGCAAATGCATCAGCAACAACAAAACGATATCCCCCAACAACAGCAGTGCGCACCAGAAAGCCAGGACCTACGCTTGCAGCACCAGAGGATCGGTAGTCCTACAACAAACATTTAAATACATTTCGTATTTGAAATTTTGATCCTTTTTAGAAACTAAAATATAAAAAATTTCATTTATATTTCAATGAATATCTATTTACATTTTTATGAATTCCTTTCTTTATTATCATGAGTATTCGGTCATAACATTTAATATACTGTTAAATTAAAAAATCGAAAATAAAAAAGAACAGACATTAATCTGGTACCACAGTGTTAAGACACAACTATATATATATATATATATATATATATATATAAATATATCAACAACAATATAACCATCCACAACAATAGCAACATCATCCGCAACAAAAACACCATCCGCGACAGCAATACTATTTCCATCATCAATCTATTTCTATTTATTATCATCCCCAATACCAACAACAACATCATCATCCACAACAAAATCAGCAATCAAACCAATCGCAAATGCATCAGCAACAACAAAACGATATCCCCCAACAACAGCAGTGCGCACCAGAAAGCCAGGACCTACGCTTGCAGCACCTGAGAATCGGTAGTCCTACAACAAACATTTAAATACATTTCGTATTTGAAATTTTGATCCTTTTTTAGAAACTAAAATATAGAAAATTTCATTTATATTTCAATGAATATCTATTTACATTTTTATGAATTCCTTTCTTTATTTTCATTTTAAATTAAAAAATCGAAAATAAAAAAATGAACAGACATTAATCTGGTACCACAGTGTTAAGACACAACTATATATATATATATATACAACAAACATTTAAATACATTTCGTATTTGAAATTTTGATCCTTTTTAGAAACTAAAATATAGAAAATTTCATTTATATTTCAATGAATATGTATTTACATTTTTATGAATTCCTTTCTTGATTATCATGAGTATTCGTTCATAACATTTAATATACTGTTAAATTAAAAAATCGAAAATAAAAAAATGAACAGACATTAATCTGGTACCACAGTGTTAAGACACAACTATATATATATATATATATATATACAACAAACATTTAAATACATTTCGTATTTGAAATTTTGATCCTTTTTAGAAACTAAAATATAGAAAAATTCATTTATATTTCAATGAATATGTATTTACATTTTTATGAATTCCTTTCTTGATTATCATGAGTATTCGTTCATAACATTTAACATACTGTTAAATTAAAAAATCGTAAATAAAAAAATGAACAGACATTAATCTGGTACCACAGTGTTAAGACACAACTATATATACCCTGTAGGACTTTCATCAACTAGTTTACAAAATGTTTAGTTATAAAGAAATTATTATTCAACTGATTATAAATTAGCTAGAAAGTCATCTAAGACTCAACCACATTGAAACCAAAAATATGTTCATGTCATCAAAAACATAACACACGCAAACCAAGAAACCGTTAGAATTGCATTCCACACAACAACACCGAATGCAAAGATGAAGAAAAATCATTCTGTTTGAAACTTCGGAGAGTGAAGACGTGTAAATCGTAATTAATTATAATTGTGCTCTTTAAGTGTGAAATTAAAAATAAATTGGTAAGTGTTTTAATAATATAATTGAAATGTTACCTATCAAGTCACATCGTAGAAAATTATGTAAGAAGCAAAGAGAAGAAGTAAATATAGATACATATTTCTTTTAATTTGTAGCACATATACAGAATATTTGTAAAATTTATAACAAAATCATCCAATAAAAACATGGAGTCCCCGCCAAAGTCAGTGAAACGCATCAGAATGAATTTAAGTAAGTAATTTATTATATAAATTAAACCAACTATTCTAATTGGAATTTTAATTTCACTATATTTCAGATGTTCATCAGCCTACCTAACAAATTTCCAAAATGTTTTCGAGTGCCTTATGGACGCCCTGCAATCACTTCCAGTGGATCCAGAGAAAGAGCTCCAAAAAGCATTGCATATTATTAAAAAACGCCACTTTCACAACATATGCATAAAAAAACAACTATAAGTCAGTCATTTATATAAATTTTCTGTGATGAATTATTGATTTGGCATATTTTATGTACTTCCACCTATGTATATAATTTCCAACTATTAATAATAAAATATATTGAATTCTAAACTGAAATTGTATATTGTATTGGTATAATTACAAATTAGCCAAGTTAAGTTAGTAAATAGTTATATTAACATATACCAACTAAAAGTCATTTCGAAAATTCTACATACAAATTAATCTCTTTTAGACCGATGACTATCTGCATTTTTTTAATGTAACTATAAATCGGTCAAAAATAACTAGTTTGTAACCAGTTGAAAAGTTACTGACTACTACCGCGATCATCGCCATGTTAAAATAGTCAATTGGTCCAAAGAAAAATAATCGATAAATGGACTAGTAGTGACTATTTTAAAATTAGTTTAAAGTTAGTTTAAAATTGGTTCATTTCCCTATAGGGTATATATATATATATATATATATATATATACGAGCCATTTGTTACCATTACCCATGTAAATTTGTCTGCGTTCCGTTTTGAGTTCATACTTTTTTCTTCTCCCCCATTTGTAGCTGGTGGGACGCTTTTTAATTTTTCTCTTCCCCTGAGGAAATTTGAAAATAGTGGACAGTGCACGAGTTCGAATATTTTTGATTGATGTGTGCAAACATCATTTCGTAAATTAAAAAAAATCCATTAAAAGCAGAAAAAACACTTTGTAAAAGTCAAAAATCTGCTAAGGATAAGAAATCTTCGCAAATTGAAAAAAATCTAATAAGGACTCAAAATAAATTTTAAAAGCATTCAAAAAAAAAATTTAAAGGAATTGAATAAATTAAAAGGCGACATGGCAGTGGTAAGAGGCTCCATTTTTAAAACTTTAACCATGTGACAAATTAGGTTATAATACTCATGTCATCTATTTTTGTTTCCAAAATGTGGGCGACTGCTATGGCAGCAATGTACCTAATGTATAATTTTTTTTATTTATATATAAATTTTTTAATTAATTTAAATATTTTTTTTTTATTAATTTTGGCAAAATGTTTTGGTGCCATTGAAACTGAGGATTTAGTTTAACAGGGGTGCTGCGCTGCAGACCACAAAATTAATAAGAAAGTTAAAAAAACACTCCCTGAAATTAAGCCGCCAGCACCAAAGATATTATTCACATGAACGGTTTTACCATCAAAACTATCTCTCTCCATATCAACAACAACAATATAACCATCCACAA